TTATCAAACAAGTGCTTGGCAGCTTGGGAGGCACCTGTTGTACAGCAAACCATAGTCAGTCCTCCGAGGCTTTCCAAACAGTGAAAATGCTTTCGAGAGCTTTGGACAGCAAACGTCGACCTCCGGAAGCTTCAAACATTTGAAATTCTCTATTGGAACTACTGGACAGCGTCTTACTCCTTGGGGAGCCCTTGTCGACAGCAGCTTGGCAGCTTGGCAGGCTTCGTTCCCGTGTGTAGTCACTTACTAACGAACTCACCTTGCCGCGACGATGAGATAGGAGCGCTATCTGCTCATTGGACTAATTCTTTTAGGGAAGGTGATTAGTGTCTCATATATGTTGTGTGTCCGCACGACACTCCGTCCTACCTTTATCTCTCGTATTATCTTAAGTATACGGCATTCGCCTCCACTAATCCAGTATCCCTTAGAAGCTCGTTTATGCCTTCCCTAAAAACCCATCGATGCTTCCTCTCCGCAAAACAGTGAACGAAATTTGAGTGTTGATTCACTTGTGTCTGGCGTTATTGTGTGCGATTATACGTCCCTAAAGGGACCGCGAGTGCATGATTACGGGGTAGGGAGTTGCTCTGTTGCCAATGTTTCGTCGCTTTATACCCTGCCCACTCATAATGCATTGCCATTGCCAGTGTAATATCATTCTCCAGCTATATGCCAATCTTCCAGTCGACATGCTTAACTAATTGCCCAAGTGTGCCCGTAACTTCAGTGTGAGTCATGCTTGTTGCATGCTTTGAATCTGTCAAAGCAATGATGATTGAATGCAGTTAGAGTTTTTGGATGTCTTAGATGAACTAGTTGCACCTGTAGTGTTCGCTTTCCCGTGCTTGTATTTCTCTGCGGGTGTCAGGTATTGTCGATTTGAAGACTAGGTAATTTGAGACAGCTCGCCGTGGGGATTTGGTTGTTTGATGCTTTATTAGAGGTTAGTTTCATAATCTGCTAGAGTGTTAGTGTTAGGCTTAAACGGGTTCGAGAGAGTTAAGAGTTACTGATAGATCCTTGGTGTGTAGTGGTTGTTACGTATAGGTAGAATGAGGTGTGAGTCAGATTGTATGACTCTTCGAATGATGGTCTGAGATGAGCATGTATAGGATAACCTCTATGAAGTTGACGATACGTAATATATTATCAATCTGAAGACATTTTAGTGATTTTATGGTGCCAATTACTAGAGCTCTGGAAGGAATTTTAAATCCGAAATGTATGTGACATGTCCCGGGAAATAGAACTGACAGATTTCGGCTTTGAAAGTGATTAGTTTGATTCCATCCATCTAAGGTATATGATTGGTACATCGTCGAGTTAACCGCGATCGAACCCGAATTGTGCGCAAATTTAGTTGTAATGGTGTATGCACTCCTTCTTTTCAGTACAAGTCATTGATCACCAAAGGAATTGGTTGAGTTGAGCAAAGAGGACGACAATTGCACCAGGAGAGTGTGTGGCACATGTATAAACTCTAGAAGGCTTTTTTGAAATGTTGAATGTCCAAGAATTTGAATTAAGCTCGATTAGATGAGATAATTCAGATGATTGTTCTGGATGGCATCATCGCAGTTAGATGTTCAGAAGGTGTCGTTAGTTCGTTGGTAGATTCCTCACAAAATATGTTGGATTTAGAGTTCATGACAAACATCGGTGCAATACAAATACTTAATTGCCTGTTTAATTAGGTCATAATTTCTTGTAGAGTTTATGAATAAGGGTTCAATGGTTCGTACAATGCATTGCAACTGCATTCGAAGGGTTCTTGACTCTCAGAACTTCAGGTCCACCATCCTAAGGATATCGTGTGA